TTTTTTTTTTTTTTTTTTTTTTTTTTTTTTTTTTTTGTAAGGAAAGTATAACGCGTTAAGTGACTCGTTTAATGATTATTTCTATTATTCTCAAAATAAAATAGAACCCTGATTTTTTAATATACCAAAACAAAACGATCGATTATCGGAACGTCGATTGGTGGAAACTTCGTAAATAGTTACGTTTGACAACAAAATGTTTTATAATACTCGGATGTCTCTTTTTACAGCGACATAAGGCAATGAAAAAAACGATTGCCGCATTCCACGTACATACAGCTTTTAAAAAACCGCGAAACCTTTCATTAAAATTGAGAATGAAACGATGAAATGCGACCATCTCGTGAATCATTTAATTAAACGGGTACCGTAGGTGGTGAGAGCAAATTTATAGGTTACCCTGTCCTTTTCAGGAGAAACAACAACCATTACGTCATGTGTGTGAAACCACATTTGTCTTGTTCGAGAATGCAACGCCCAAATACGCTCAATCCCCTTTCCGAGTCACGTAATCCGCTATCTCATTACACGTCATGCACTTCCACGTATTCGTGGAATAAATTGGTCACATATTTATCGACTTTTGTGGCAAAAGTATATATTTTATATATAAAAGAGATTATCGAATAAAGCTTTCCTGTTAGAAATATTAAGAAACATATTTCCAAATATCTATGACCCTGAATAAATATATTTTATATATATATCGTTTGTATACATAGAAATATATTAAGAAACAAATACACATCATCGATGCATGTTATTAATGAACGTCAGTTTAATGACTTGTATTCGGATATTATAGAATTCCTTTGTGCCACTTTCATACGACGCAGGTGACGAAACCACCATTTTGCAATGTTTTAATAAACCTGCTAATTATCGAGCTGCTGTCTTATCACGATAACCCAATTTTTTTTCATAACAAGGTGGCAAATATAGATCGTGCAACAACTACGTACAAGCACAGGAATAGTTAAAAAAAATCGCTTACAAATAAGTGAGTAAGACGTTTTATCGACATTATCGTATTTAATTTACCAACTAATATCAATACTAGTAAGATTCGCATGTTAGACGTTATAATTATAATTAATAGTGAAATAAATAAATGAAAAAAATAGTGAAATTTTATTCGTTTTGTTCCTAAACTTGTTATTGCTATGCAGAGGTATTTATTAATCATTACTATGAACAGTGTAATAGAATGACAAATGAAGTTCAGTGTAGAAGATAATTTATATCTCTTTATCCTCAATTTCCTGCATTTTTGAGTTACAAATGCTTTCAACATTTTATGGAAAATATATACAAATGCGTTACGTATGATAACATTTAAGATGTAAAATTTATGGTTAATATATTTTACTATTTTCTACTTTCCCTCAAGTCACACTGTTATACCATGATTAGCTTCTCAAAACTTTAAACATTTTGATTCTTTCTATATGTGCAATGATTTCGTGGAAAAGTTTGCAAAATATCGTCGTTATCGAAATATGCAAATGCATAATATGAAGGTTCTAGTACCGACAGTAGAGTTTAACATAGACAGGAAAACAAAGTTTAAAATATAATAATTATGTATGTTCGATTGAAATAGAATGGCCTCAAATTAGGTCGAATCGAAAGTATCAGATCGATGACGTATTTTGCATCCTTGGATTATCACGAGCTCGAAATTAGTAATTAGCTTGTATCTATATACAATATCAATTGCACGATCATTACCGCAATTATGCTAAATTCTTTAATAATGAAGTAATTCACAATCTTTTGTTGCTCGATTCTGCGACTTCCTGCGACTCTGTATGTGAATGACGGTTAATCAATTTCACGCTTAAGTTTCGCGATATTAGACAAAATCAAAAGGCAGACGGAGCGCGAAAGAACTCACTTTTATTTCTCACATATTGCACAAAAAATGATAATACGTAATATTCTACCCAGTAAAGGAACAAACTGTAAGAAACAGCTTGCTGACGGATAAATCAGCATTTCTAAACTAATTACGTATATCTTGAAGATACGTGTAACTTGTTTGAACGTTCCCAAGGCAATTTCTATCGACGTTCGGCTTTCTCTTTCATTCAACCCTTCCAAAGGGACAAATTAAATTTGAAAAGATAAGAATCTCAATATATATATATAAGACATTGAATAATAAAATATAACAAAATATAAAATATAGATATATTAATAATAAAGTACAAGATACAAAACATATAAAATAAAATCTAATTTATCATTTTCTACATACTATAGCAACGTATACTATATCGTTTCACGTTGTTCATGTACATAACTTTAATTAATATGAAAGGTAATTGCCATCATCTATGGATGTCTTAAACTTCTCGTAAAACTACATCAACTTAGAATTCTATCCATTCATCCACGAGTACTTCTACTTACAGACATTTCGGTAACCTGTTATTCCTTCGGCATAATCGCGATAGAAAATTACTACTTTGACAAGTAAGAGCGCTATAAAGATAATATGTATTATCATCTATAGTCTTATTAATCGTTGTGGTTTACTAGTAGTTATGCTAATAGTCTCGCTAAGAGGAACCGATGTACTGGATGGCGTGCCATATTTAGGGGGTGGACCGTAAGGTGCCGATACCGGTTCATTCGAGCTGTTCGACGAGGCGCCTAAAATAGCCGTAATAGCGTTCACTAACGAAGCAACCACTTTTAATATCGCGTTAAAGATGTCTTTGATCGATGAGCCGAGCGGATCAAGTGAGTTTGATGATGGTTTAGGCTGAAAAGTTCAGAAGCTCAGTCACAGAAAGCTAATAAGTATATTGCGGATGTTTATGCATTTATGGAAAATTTAACCCATTAATCGACTGTCGTCGTAGGATGAAACGCCATTGGAATTAAGTTTGGGATATGGTAATCGCTTATTAACGACTTCATTTAACATCGTATTTAGCTTTGTGACTTTTGGAGGCAAGTGTTTATAAAAATGTGCTTAGAGGGTTAAACGTCGTAAGATGCACATGATGTACAGAATATAGAAAAATATACAAGGTGGTTGGTAACTGGTGGTACAAGCGGAAAGGGGATGATTCTACGCGAAAAAAGAAGTAGAAAATATAGAATAAAAATTTTTTTTAATTTTTTTTTTAATTTCCCCATCGAGACAACGATCTACAGTGAGATCCATTATAACATACCGCAGGCGTACCGAGCGAAAATTCAAAGTCGATTTTCTCGAAAACAAAGTCTCAAACGAAAAATTTTTATTCTATATTTTCGACTTCTTTTTTCGCGGAGAATCACTCCCTTTCTGCTTGTACCACTAGTTACCAACCACCATGTATAAAACATTAAAACGTAAATGTACATTTTCACATATTTCCTAAAATATTAGAACACATAAAATCGAGTTCTTGTTATAATAAGTAAAAGATCAAATGAGGTTATTTGTCTTTGGAAAAATGTGAGTCTTCATAAACATCCACAGACTACTAATAAAATCTTATGTTTTTGACTCTGGGTTACAGGAGACAAGCGTAATGTACTGGCGAATAAGAAAAAAAAATGAAAGGACAAAGGAAAACTTACATAACCGTATGGACGGGGAGGACCATGGTCAGCACCATAGCTAGTGGGAGCTCCATAAGTGTCCTTGACACCTTTGGAACCACTGGAACCTGCACTGGTGCCTGCTATAGCTCCAGCGACCACCGCTTTCACGAGACTCATTAAATCTGATTTACCACCAGCTCCTGAATTCTGTAAAAAATTCAACAACCAAAGGACAGTTAACGGGCGTTCGTTAATTATTGTCAATTATTTTTAAATTAAAATTTTAAATTAAAATTGTATAATGGTCCATTACATCGATAAGATGCGAAAGCTTTTCGTTTAATATCTTTAGGTTGGCCGTTTTAGTGTTAAAAGGTTTGCAATTATTTCCAAAAACTATCGAGAGGCAGTATACGATGATATACATGAGACTGGTTTAGTAGTGAAACGGTCGATTTATTAGAGAAGAACAAATTGTTGTTAACAGAAAAGTCAATGCGTACTTTGCTAAGACTAGAGACAACTCCGGCGATTAAGTTTGAGAGCACCGTCATCTTTCCAGGTCCAACAGGCTAGAAATAAATGGATATTTTATAAAATCAATATATCATTACTAAGAAACGTAATATGATAGTAATAGTAATGAAAAATATCGTAAATAAATAATATATATGTACTTCGAGCAAGGGACCCAATGAAGCCTTAATCAGATCACCAAAACTCGATCCACCTTGACCTGGAGCCTAAAATTCACTTCAATTTGCCTTCTAATACGAAGAAACAAACATTTCCAAAAATTATTATATTTACGTTACTGATTTGACGACTCAATGGTACAGCCAATGGACCAATAATGGGCCCGATTAGCGGTGCAACTAATTGAAGAAGCGGTGTCAAAATCGCAGCCGAATCTCTTTCGCCATTCTTACCCTGAAACAAACTTTATTTTTTACCTGACCTTACCTGCGCTCTCGGTATTCCTTCTTATCCATTCCGTTTCTCTGCGAAAAATTCTACAGAAACTTGATAACTCACTCTACTAAGTTGCAACAATATTGGAAGCAACAGTGCTGGGATATCGCTTCCTCCTGCTTCGCCATCTCCCTAAAAGCGCAAGATGATGTTTTTTTTTTTTTTAAATAAACGAAGCATTTCGAGATGATTCATTAGAGTTCTTACGTCCGACAGGTCTTGAAGTATTGGAATTCCTACTTCGAGTAAATCGGCAATATCAGCGTCGGAGTCAGGCTGAAAAAATGAACAAATGTAGGATCCATGATAAATCCGATAATATTCATACAATTAGACCATGCAATAAGTTTGTATTGTTTATTTCCTTGTTATATATAGAAGCTTTATACTAATCTATCCAGCTTTTATATTATTCCCTCTTCCTTTAGATATCTTGGCTGTAATTTCTCATTAGATACAAATCAAAATGTATATTATTCATTCATCTTTCCTTCCAAATGCCTTCTGTAGATCAAATTCGATCGTATAGAATTATTCATTTCGATCATTTACTATTTTGTGTTCTTTAAAGACATGGCGAAAAATATGAACATGGTACGAACTTATTAAACAACCTAATATGTTTAACGTTTTGTATTAATAATTTCGAAATCTTCGTCGAATTTCTTACGTCGCTAAGATCTTCCAAGGCTGGTGCGACAAGCATAAGTAAGTCAATGATAGTTTGTATGGGACCACCTTCATCGTCGTCGTCATAGTCTTCATCTGACTCGCTTTGGTTAGAACTCTCTTCAGAGCCATTCTTGTTATCATTTTCTTCATCGGATTCGATGCCATCGTTATCTTCGCCGCTGTTTTCTTTACTTTTGTTACCTTCTTTCCCATCATCGTCCTCTTTGTCATCATCGTCCTCGTTGCTGCCATTATCCTCTTTGCTTCCATTGTCGTCGTCATCGTCCTATCGATTAAAAGTTCTCGTAATAATAATATTTCGCGATATGCTACACCATAGAAAATGAAATCGAACGTACCTCAACTTGTTGCGCCAAAGACGTCTGATTACGTCTTCCTTTCTGTTTGAGCGCAGACTGAAATAAACGAATCGACTTCAATAATGTTCCGTTGATGCGTGTTCGTTGTTGTTTTCGGATAACACCGGTAACGTTGAGAACGCAAGCGAATTCGAAGAAATTCTGTGATGTCACACGCGAGTTTGCACAACGATCTCTTGTTCGATAAATCCGAAGAAAATTAGACCAAAGAGAAATAAATATTTCTGCTGATTAAGTATATAAATAAATCGTTAATTAATTCATGATTTAAAGACAGATGATGAGGCGTGATGAATGGAAAAAAATTATTTTGCAGAAAATCAAAAACGCACATATACCACGTGGACTGTATGAAATCTATAAGTCGATTTCTCGTTAAACATGATACATTCATTTTCGCAATTCTTTTTCAAGTCATAAGTTGTATATACGTGTTACATAATTATTTGTGTTATGTAACACCAACTTTCGATTTTATTTGCTTACCCATGAAGCCTCAAAAAAATCCACATTATTTCGTTGATGCTCGTAATAAACAAGGCACATTGAGTAATTAACGCGTCCAATTAAATTATCTACGCCACACATGTCAAACCTCTCACATTGTCTCTAACGAATGCAACCTTATTAATTCACACTTTTCTTTTATACAGTGTCAATTTATGCACACCTTTCACCCGCCTACTTCTAATAACTTTGAAGTTATACGGTTCTTGCTTTCTCATTTCTTCGCAAAGATAAAAATATATCTTTACCGTTTGTCCTCCTTTAACATCTACAAAGCTAGTGAACGCTGAAAGCCCACAACGTTAAAGCGTAAACAATTCAAACAATCGAACTAACAGAAACGCACATTCTGCTTCTATTGGGAATTTTCACTTGTGACGTTTACATTATGTGCCACATCAAGTGGTCAAATATGTACTATACTTATACTCATCACTGAACTTACCGGTGGCTTCTGAGTAGAATAAAGTTGAGTTCTCTGTGACTGTGGAACCCTTTGACGCACTGGAACCCTCTGCGTAGTCGATGACGTCTGTTGATTCAACGGAGGCGGCGTAAGATTCGTCGACGGAGTATTATTTCTTCTGATCGCGACTATCGTCTTCAAGAACTGATTAATCGGTGATGATTGACGCTTTCCTTCAGATTTTTGTTTCTTCGACTTGTCCTTCTTCGCGCCGTCCTTCTTCTTCTCTTGCTTCTTCCGTTCCTCCTTTTTAGAATTGTTCGTTGTTTCGTTTACTTGAATGCTATCATCGAATACAACGTTGATTTGTCCAGATTCGTTGGTCACGGTGTAATTGGTATCAAAATACGGTGGGAATTGATCAAGAGGATCTCTAGTTGGTATCGTGAAGTATTTGCCACCCTCGTTCTTCAACGTGGTCGTTTGTACAGGTTCTTCGTGGGTAAACGTAATCACCGCTTCGAAAGGAACTTTGAACAGCGGTTTTACGGAACTTATGTTCCTCTGTTGAGATAGAAAATCAACGCCTTTCAATGGTATTTCATCGTTGAAAACCAGAGGACTCCGCGTGGTGAACGTGATCTCATCCGTGATACCCTGGTTACTGGAAACATTCCTCTCGACTCCGTCGAAAAAATATCTAGTAACAAAAGGATCGTTTGGGAACTTGATGTTGTCACTAGTCATGGTCACAGGTAGATAAGTCCTCGCAGGAGGCGAAACTACGTTCGTATTTCGAACGACATCAGTAGGTCTCACGTCGATGCCAATAGCTGGTCCAAAGTCAGGAAATTGAGGAACAAACAGCTGTCGATCCGCGGATTTCAATAAATTCGTCGTGTCGAAGGCATCTTTGATGGTTGGCTCTTTGAATCTCGATCTTGGAATATTTATATTCGCTGTGATCTCTAGTGGACTTGGGACAGTGGTATCGGTGATCGCGAAGCTGTTAAATGTTGGTTGAAGTTGTCGATTGTTGTTAAATAAACTCTTCGTAGTCGCTCCGTTGATCGTAAACGATGGCAACTGTGCAGTAGCGTACACCTTATCGTTCGATAACTGAAGGTTTCCATTTCTTTGAAGGCCTCTGACGTTCTCGGGTTGTCTACGATTCTCTGAAACTCTAACATTTTCAGGTTGTCTACCGTTTTCCAGAAGTCGAACGTTTCCAGGATGTCTATCATTCTCTACAATTCTTATATTTTCCGTGTGTCTACCGTTCTCCAGGATTCTAACAGCTGCTGGAATTTTCGTTTTCTCAAAGTTCTCGGCGTATCTCGTGTTCTCGAAGCTCTTTGTGTTCGCATAATGTCGGATAGCATTGACAGGTTTGATGTTATCAAAATTTTGCAATTCCAAATTTCTACCGCTGTTCTGCGCTCTTACGCTCTCGAAACCTTTGCTGTTGTCGAAACCTCTGTTGCTCTCTGCCGCTTTGACATTTCCAGTAGGTTTCGACTGTGACTCTTTCACAGTAGTCAGAGTGATATTTATTCGAGACGCCATTAGACCCATAACGTATCTGGCCCATGCTACCAAGTCGTCCTTGGTCGCAATTTTCAGCGGTAATTGAATCTCCAGAATTTTTGGCACAGCGGAGAACCCGTTTCTCGCGTCGTTCGAAGCGTCTTCTGGCAAACGTTTCGACAACGGTGCGGCCATTGAAATCACCAGGTTTGTCGCTATAAGCGCGAGCATCGTATAGGACCCTGGTATTCTTCTCGACAACAGGAAAAACATCGTTATTGATCTTCTTTACGAGACAATTTATCGAACGATAAGGTATTAAATATATTTAACAACACTGATACTCAATCGTTATTCAACGTCCACGCGAATTCATAGAACAAAAATCGACACCTGGACGTCATTTCTGCGCAACAGGCGCACCTTCCATTTGACACAGAATCTGTCGTTGCTTGATAAAATCGACAACGTATTCCCACTAGGTATTGCACATGTCGATCGTAACCGTTATCGGGCAAAGGGAAATTCGACGTAGAATCGCGACGTGAAAACTGATCGGAGACATGGAAAAGTGGATGTTTTATAGCGGGATGAGTAATTGGTCGCCCCTTTCCTTGCTGATCGTGGAAGCGTGCACTTTTTCCGTGCGCCGATCGGCATATTGGCATTTCTAATGACAGTGTACAACGCCGCGGCGAGTGCACTCACTTCCGTCGTTGCATTCGCAATTACGGGGGTGCAATTCCTCGTAGGAGGCGCGGTGCACGCAAAGTGCGGCCGACGACAGGCTTTCGCAACGCACGGCAACCGCCTAATCCGAAAAAACGTGTGTAATGGATTCGAAGTGTACAATTGGGACGTCGATTTACTAATATAGCATCTTTATCTCTTAATGGGTGCTTCATGAAATCTCCAAGTCTGTACTTTATGGATGGTCTGTCCTTTGTTTCTTTTGTCTTCGAAGTGATTGCGAAAAGAAGCGGAGAATCTTGAAAAAATTCGTGTTTACGGTAGTCCATTTTACATGTTGACTTCGGACAGGTGAAATGTTATGGAAGAATGCGTTAGGAGAAATGTTAGAATTTAATTAAGATTAGAATTAAGATTAATAATGTGTGGAAGACACAATGTTTGTGTTGAAATAATATAATGTGATATTTATTAAACAATTATTACAGGAATATAAGTAAGTATTGTGGAATGTAGACAGTTGGCTAGTTATTCACAGACTAACTGGCTTAGTGACCCATGGCCCTTGAAAAGGTTTACAACCCCACTCTCTATGCAGTAATGAGTGTGACCTATGTGGGTGTCTGTGTGGCGTCACACGTGCCACAGAACCTTCTAGTAGCTTCTCGACGTGCCCATCGAGAATGTTTCATCCATATCCTCACGCTTCTTCCGGCGAATCTTCGAAAGAGCATGCACGTGTTAGCCGCCGTGGTGCAACTCACGAACGCACGCTAGTGGGGATGGCGCTGGGCAACGAAGGGAAGAATCCGTACGATCAATCACCTCATCTGCATGCGATTGATATCGTTGTATTCCAACAAGAAGACGTAAGGATTATGAGAGATCGTGCATGGAAGTAGTCTAACAGTTTATGATGGTCACTAAGTTCAGATGCTCGCTTATCTTCCATGGTAGAATTATATCGATATTTATAATCATTTTTCTCTTATCGCCTGTAAAAGTTGGAATTATCACGATGAAATCTGTTATTTTTGTTCCTATCATCTTGTCGACATACGCTTCTTTCTTCTTTCTTTTGTAGTAACCATAGTAATCATATTTACGTAGATCGAAACTGTTCTCGACTTTTGTCGACAAATACAACAAAGCGAATTGCAAAAGTTAAACAAATTGACAATGAAACCTTACAATTAGCAACTTGTAGTTGGCCGTGAACGTGATGTTGAAGTATTAGAAGGTGGTAACAATGACCTTAGCATTAGGCGAATAAACTGCCACTGCGTTCATTAACAGTTTTCAGTACAAACAAAACAAGGACAAGTTTAACTCTATCCCACGTTGATGAAAGTTACCACGCTGGTTCGTGCATATTAAGTTAATCGCACTCCCGCGCCGCCGTCTGAAGTTGATCTAAGATTTTACTCGAGTCACATTGACCTATACTTTCAGTTTCTTTCCAAAGTGATTTTATCGTCGTAACTTTGATAAATTCGCGATAAAACGTTATCTACATCGATCTTAAATGCCTAATGAACTATATCCTTATATAAGCGTAGAATGGTTCATTGGGTGTTCGATATATGAACTTCTCGAAAGAGAAATTCACCAGCTCAATTTAAAGGAGTATATTTCTTAATCTTATTACCATTCATGGATACGTGATTAGCAAATTAAATTTAATTATTAAACGACTGAAAACGTGAATAGGATTAAAGAAGTGAAGCATAACAAAAATTAGTTTCATTTATTCAATACTATAACGAATTCATCATATTTCCGCACCCTAAAATATTCCATAATCCATAAACATTCGCAACGTAGTGATCTAGCTTCATAAAAATCTTCATAAAAACTGTTTTCGTAAGCTTATCTATTCCAAGACGATGGCATAAATAACCGCGAATGCCAAGATAAATATTAAAAAAATAATGTCTGTAACATCTTCAGCTTCCTCTATTTTTCTATTTATAGAGTTGATCAACATGAGTTCCGAGCATACCGCATAAAAATACAGTACAAATATCATGAAGTATTCAGCAAGCTGCCTCCTGAAACACGTAAAAAAGAGACGAAAAGAAAAAAAGAACGATGTACGTGACATGAGAAAGTCAACGATGATTCTACAATCGATAAAATTGTGAATGATTAAAACCAGTCAACGAACTGTAAACTCCGCTACGTTATCACGCTGATTATCAGCGATCGAACAGATATAGCGACGTATCGTGGAGCCTGGGCTCTGTCTTACAACTAGCACCGTTAGATCGGTTTACTGACCAGCCTCAAGAGACTGTATATCGTGCTACGACGATCGTACTAAACGACGGCTGGACGCCTTTTATAATCCTTTGAAGGTCGATTTCGTTGTTCGATAGAATTTCAATACCCTCGACGATTTGCGATTCCATCGTCAATCTTTATCTTTCATCCGCGTGTTAGGAAAAGATAGAGTCGGGATCATTCTTGTTTATGCAACGATCGCCTTACATCACCTTCCAATTATTCGCATCACTTGTTCAGCTTCCGCTGGCAATCGGTGAACGTTCATAAATTAATGTCAAAATTTTGTTGAAGCTCGAGTTCAATTTTAAAAGCACGTCTAGATGTTTAAATGCGAAACTGTGAATTGACTATAAGTTTGTTAAAGATCATCTACAAAAGTGAAAATGTTACGACGTTACTGAAACTAAAAATATAAGCTGTGAATCGATTATAAGTTTCTTAATGATCGTCTATAAAAATTAGAAAGTTCTTAATACGATACAACGGTCCTCAACGACTTATCGATTCAGTTACGTTTGTTCGTAAAATTCCACGTGTCGATCGGAACGCGTGGCTTTGCACACATACATGCAGATGTAGGAGGACAGATGGAGGTTGTTGTCTCTCATGAATGTATGTATAAAGAATATTTATTTGACATCGGCGATTTGTAATCCTTCTTCTTCCTTTGCGAAATCTACTACAAATATTGCTTAGTTTCTTAATTTAAAAGTTTAAGGTTACATTTTCGAACAGATTTACGCGAAAGCCGTTTTTTTCATCTCACATTTCTACATATCGTAATTAAGTATTAAGTTGTTCGGAAAGTGTCTTTCTTTCGCACACATGTTTTTTACAACAGTGCATCTTCGTACAAACGTGAAACCAAGTCTGTGAAACGTCACGGTGTAATTCGACAAAATAGTATAAAACAAAACACGTTGTGCGTCTATTATTTCCTCATAAAACGAATGAAACTTTTCGGACAAGATAATATAAAGCATCACGACACGCCACAAATGGAACTATCCTTTTTATGCCGAGCCAATTTCACACATATTAATACGAATTATTGTTTTTATACTTTCTATTCTATGAGCACATTCAACGTTCTTTATTGATTGCTTTTTACGTGCAAGATTCTACTCCGCGAGATCTTGTAATTTTCTACCTTCTAATCGATTTCAGGTAAACTTAATAACATCTCTGACGTAACCAGAGAAACTTAGAAGGGATAAAAAGGAAATAGAAGGGTCAGTTAACACTTTGACTGCCATCTTTCTTACAATTGTAAAAATTGTAATTGACAGTTAGGGCATCTCGAATATAACCGATAAACTGAAGATACTTTGAAATAAAAAGTGCCCCACTGAACAATTAAACATTTTTATTAGCATAAATAAAAAAAATGAGACTAAATCTTGATGATAATGATGACGACGGTGATGATGATGATGATGATGATGATGATGATGATGATGATGATATAATAATAATAATAGTAATAATATATAGATATAATAGTAATAATAATAATAATAATACAAACATGAATACGTTAAACACGATGTTTACAGGCGTCCTTATAAAATCTGATAGAGACATCGATTCGAGCATGATGATGGTGATAATAGTAATAATAATAATAATAATAATAATAATGATAATAATAATACAAACTTGAATAAGTTAAACACGATGTTTGCAGGCGTCCTTATAAAATCTGATAGAGACATCGATTCAAACAGTAGAAACTATAGAAAGTAGCTGCGCGTTTCAATTTTTTTTTTTGCTCCGTGTATATGTGCGTGCGTGTGCGCTTGTTGGAGCGCGTCCACGTTTAAAAATATATTTATTAAATGTTAACAGGATGATTCGCCGATCGTGAAAGCTACATCTAATTATTGTCGTGGTTATATGGTTGCGATGTCGTTTGCTCCTGTGCAATTAGTACCAGGAAAGAAAAGACATTGTTACTCGGTGATCGTTCGTTCAATTCTTAGCTTGCATATTGAATTTCATTTCGCTTTTTCTCTTTGTCCCTGACAAATGATTTCGTTTAGGTGGACGACACGGCGCGTAATTTTCAAGAATAGTATCGTCGATCAGTTTTTAAAAGGGAAACCTAATTAATTTCGTTTTTCTGCGAGATTTCGCAGGATTTCATAACGTCGCAGAAGGGAAAAAGTGAAAGGCATTCGGTTTCCTGCTACTTTGACCGAATGACACGGGAGAAACACGTGAAGTTCGAGATTGAAAGCACGAAACTTGGACGATCTTCTTCGAATATCTAAAGGATCATATTATAACTATGATGACACGTTGACTGCCACGCCGAAATCACATGTTTCGCTGAGGACGCCACGGGAGTATTTTTGTTATTGAAAGCGTATAATGGCAAAATAATAATAAATTGATGATGTAAGACAACACTCTTCTCCAATGGACCGTTTATCTTATTGGTGGCCATGGGTAAACACCGTGGCACCTTGGTAACAGTTGATAGCGACATATTATAACGAGGCTTCGTGTATTTCAACAAACCATTCGCATTCGTTATTTCGTCGTAAGCAAAACGTGCAGAATATATTATTGAAACGTGTAGAAGATATTAATAAAGAATATTTGCTCATTCTAAATATAATAGTAAGACATGTGCACACTTCTAACTTCAATTATGTGATTATAAAGCAGCATTTACGATTATTTTCTAAGCTGTGTTCATAATAATATTCGTATATTCGTATATTACGATACTAAATTGATTCGCGATACGAAAAGAGGGCAAGCGTCTGTTTACAATAATATCTGCAATTGTAAGTCAAAAAATTAATTAAAACGTACTTGTCATATCTTTTCCTCGAGTGATTTTCACGTAACAGTAAAGTTACAAAAACGCGGGAGAAGACGATTCGTTGTTTGGATGCTGGCAAAGATAAAGAACGTCGGTATTTTACGCAAGAAAGTGCAATAATCTATAGTACGAATATTCTGGAACGCGTCGCGCCCAAACCAAATAAAAAGCAGTAAGATCGTAGCAAAAACTGGTTGCTTTAGAATTCATGGAAACTTATCAGTTGCTAGGCTGACAATTATATATACC